AATTATTTCAGCGTTTTCTCATTTCTCCTTCTGCTATTTTACCACTTTCTACTGCTTTTGACTGCGTTCTTCTTTATCTTTCATTATATTAAATTCCCGCTTGGTGTGCCGATATGAAGTGTTGCAACTTGGACCTTTAATCGGTACTGCTAGGTCCTATCTTGACTTCTTCCATATCTCTGTATGTTGTAACTCGCTACCGAAGTGGATAATGCCTGAGATGTTAAAACTATAATTGCTATGTTTTCATGCCAGTGGAAATACTAAACATCCCTGAAATGCAATTACTTTCAGTTGTGAAACTCAAAACTGAGTACAAAAAGGATTGAGTTTCATATAACAGCTGACCAATGTGAAACACTACAGCTACTGATTTTACACTTATAACGTGATTCTATCGGAAGAATTGGTAAAGTGAATAATTTGTGATGGACCACTTAGCAGATAATACAATTAAATGCTAGTAAAATCCTTAAATTTATATCTGTTTTTCAGTAAGACAATCTTGAACCACTATTCCACTGTTCTCAACAGACTGAAACATTGGCAATTTGTCAAGTATAACCATATTTCTATGTAAGGTATCCGGATGCCGAATGCATTACTCTTTAGTTTTGAGAAATATAACCGTTTATAGCTGGAAAAAACTATCTGTTAGCCTCTATAGTTGAGCTGTAAGCACTTCTTCTTTAATATTACTTCACTAGATAGGACACCATGCTTGGCCGTTAACACACAGCTGATAGTTTAATCTCCTTCATAACATTGGTTTGTTTCCCTTTCTGATTTCTTATGAATCAAGGGAATGCAGACTTTTGATGATGTCGGGTGTGTTGAAACTGCAGAGTTAACAATATTGAGGTTAGGCATGTAGTAGTAGATAAAAAAAGGAGTCAGTCTATGGATCTACACGCCTGTGCTATGCTTTCGCAGTAATCATCGTACTATCACGTCAATAGATGGGATGGGTAACTTTTTATAAAAAATCAACTGATTTCTTGAACTCAAAGTCGATGTTATGAAAATTTCAGCTAATCATGTTTAGAAAAGATCAATTTTACCTGTCCTCCAGGTTAGGTTAATCAGTTCATGATGTGGTAAACTCTTACTAACTTCAGTGGTTATGAAATATATTACGTATGCTGATTCACTGTCTACCTTGATTTACAATTTTAACCAGAAAATAGTTACACTAAGCCATGGAGTTATTTTACAAAGTCTCTGACTGTTGACCTCATTCTTATATATAAAAGTGGACTTCCTAGTTGTAGTCTGCAAGTCATGGAAACTGATGTGACCGATGGCTTTTGATGATAGGGCTGGAAATAGACCATGTGGTGCAGATGTATTTATTCTTTATCTTAAATTTACTTGTAACCTAATAGGTGGTTCCCTTGCCTTACCTCTTGTTTTCACTTTCTAAATGTTCAATCACATTATTCTTATTTCTTTGTCCATTTCTTGTGTCAGTGTACTTGGTCATCTACCATGTGCATTGAATTAACGTACAGATCGATCAACTGGTAGTTGTGCCAAGTCCTATATTGATCCATTTGAAGAATTCAACAACTTACTGTTTCCCCATAAATTCACTATTGTTGCTGTTACTATGCTGAATAGTTTTGTTTTAAAAGACGAAACTTTGAATAAATTACTTTAAAAAAATTGAGCAACTAAGTAATTCTCTGCATGTTTCGCCAGCACATAATTTACGGATGACTCTTTCAAAATCGGTACATGAGAGTTAACATCTGTACTCAATACTTAAGATTTTAGAAGGCTTTCCAAAATTATTGTTTTTCAGAAATCTAAATTTTTTCTTCGAGACAGAAGTTGAAGGTTTCAAACTTAATCAACAAAAGAGATGTTGATAACACGTTCGTCATCTGTAAAATGAATCTAGGTTTACAGAGTATACTATGTGCCTTCAATCAATGTTATCTTTCGATCAAAGATACCATTTCTTGATGTATTGCTAACAAAAAGAGAAAATCAACCTCTTGAAAAGCTAAATAGAATAAATAGTCAGTCAATCTCCATAGCTGGAATAAAAAAATCTGCTCCACTCTTTTTCATCCCAACTCTAGAAAATTTGCACATTCGATACATGAGAAAGTTTTTTATTAAGAAAGTGACTACCTATAAAAATTAGTTGATAAAATATACATCAGTAAACCATCCTTTAAATAAATGCTCGAGTATGCTACCAAATGACAGGAGTAGTTAGAAACCACTCACGGACCAGATCAGAGTGATTTATATGCCTGACAACTATTTTACTCGTTTCTTGCTGAACTCATCAGCAGCGTACTCGGGGAAATTTGACTCATAGAACTAAATTGTTCAGACCAAGTGAATCTGGATAACTACCGTGGATCGACCGACCGACCTGTATAATTTTTAACAGAAACCTTGTTGACACTATAGCTGGACAGTTGAAAAACTACTCAGGTATCAACAATGTTAACATGAACTGTGCAATTTGCGAACTAATCATACTGTATGTTACAACAGAGAAAAATGTACTGGTTTTAATTTTGGTACTCAATCGTGAGATTTTGAAACGACTGATGAAAACCGTTAAATAGAAATTGTATGCACCAGGTCTATGAACCACTTAAACGAGCTGTCTCAAGCTGTAAAAGATAAAGTGCTGCTACCGATTGCTTCATAGTGCATATGTATAACTTCATCCACTACTATGAAGCTAATTATACAGTCAATTCTCAGAAGCAGACTGTTCATCATCAACACAAACACTTTCCAACGTAGCACAGTAAAGGTAAGGCTAGATGATTCAAAATTTTCATCTTAAAACACTTGTTGGATGGTCATCAAGTAATTTCATTTCATGTACTTTACAGAATACATCAGATACTCCTTAAATATGTGAATAAAAATGTCTATTATACGCTGCATAAGCTTTAGCAATACTGAACTGGAAACCAGAATTGTGTGTTCTTAATTACCATTCCATTCCTTGCTTAAAGTTATACAGCCAATAGTTCTCGTATTGTTCATCGCTTGTCTTCAACACTCAGTTGTTTTACAACAGTCAATCCTTAACACTGTCAAATATGCTGATCCTTTTTATATGGTTATCATTTCCATATTGTTTCCTTACTTCAATTTCTCAATGATTACCATGTTATAAGTCACACCGACATCCTTCACTAATATTTGCAGACATTAATTATATTTAAATATGATCGCATCACTTTTGATAATGATATCCCTTTCAGTCTACTTAAAGTCTGATAAAGACTGTCAGCCGTCAAAAGAAGAGTTATATATTTGAAAGATACAATCGACAGTGAATGGATGACTTTATGAAACACGCTGATCGAAAAATGTTATGGAAGAACTTCTCATACTGAAAATTTGCAAATCGCTTAGTTTTGTATGCTATGTGGTGACACCGATCCTGTAAGATGAGTTTTGTAGACTGACCACTTGGTGGTGTGTTGATCAGTTCGATTACTTCTATGCCGGGTCATTTAAAAAGTCCGTCTTTCATACTCGTGAACACCTTTCGATGTGATGTAGTAAATTTTTAAAAGAGACCATTAACAGCTCCATGTTAGCCCACTTAGTTCAAACTAACCACACAATGGATATGATAAGTTCTATTACATGAAACCTAAATTTTAACCCCATATTGTACATATTCCTTCATCTGAATAGACAAAAACAGTTTTATCTCATTTGCTTACGCCGTTTCTGTTCCCTTATATGTATACCGTTTTATTGAAACTAGTAGTCCTCAAGTGATTTCTGTTTCTTTGTAGAATCCCATTCTCATACACAAATATGCACACATACAAACCTTAACAAATAAATCCTGACACTATTTCCTACGTTTATGACCGTTAAAAGTATAAAACACGAAGTGATTACTGGGTTTTGATCACAAATGTCTTCATAGCATTGCTCGCGTCTGGTAGAATCACCGTGTGAGTAATGTTGAGGTCAAGCAAGGAGTATTAGTCAAGATATGCAATTCGATTGATGAAGCTGTGAACTTTTATTGGCTGAGATGGTTTGGACTCATACTGCTCGTACTGAGCCACTCCATACTTTGACATGCAATGCTAGGTCAAGTTGAACTGGGTTAGAAAGGGGTTCAGGGTGACTGAAACACGAAGTGACGCCAGTCGATGAAGTCTTCTACTGTTGGTCTGAGAAGTGTCTGGAGATGTAAACTGCTTGGTTGGGGTCCACGAGACGAAAGAAATCAGTGGTTGGGAAAGTTTGGTGATATGTCTGAAAACTGATCACAGTGGCAGATATGTATTCACTCCTTGATATCTTCTGAAGTTTGAATATTCGAACTTACCTTTATCTTCAGATTGATTGTTTTCTCACATAACTGTGCATACTTTGATATCAGTCATTTTTTTCCCGACTGCTTTTTTTACTACTGTGAAGTGTGGCCACTTGAAGTGATGCACTTGTGTGTGAGGTTCAAAGTTGATTTTATCATTCAGTCGGGTATTTCCTTGATCCAACCTAATCTGACCTCTGGTTATGTCGATGCTTCTCACTCAAATTTCATTATCAGACTGAACGGAATTCATTTTTAGGCTTTGATTACAATCACTGATCAGCATAAACGCTAAGTAAAGTTTGCTGTACTATTTAATATCCAACATCTGTTACTTTGTTAAACCTAATCGTCTGCAGATTTGTCGGAATACCATATGGTCACTGTGGTACACGTAGATCTGGCTGACGAGTCCCAAACAGGATGAAACACACGTCCTAGACCTCACTGTTATCCTTTACCACCAGGCAAATGACATTAATATCTCTAAACACTGGAATTCGTGTCTTTAGTGAAGAAAAATCAATTGGTTCGAACTATCCACTTCTATAAAATCTCTTGTATTGTTATTGACAAGTAGTCTAGAAAAATATGTTCATTTTGCTTCCAAACTGTTCCACTTTTTCAGTAGTTTTAACTACTTATTTGTTCTTTTCATTCATTATTATCATTGTAGATTGGTGTAGCTGTTGGCTTTTTAGTACCTCCACTTATTGTTCCTATGCTACCGTACGTTATCGATGAAACTTCAGGTAACCCAACAAATATACTGGATCCTAGTGTGGATGTGATACAATTGTTCAACAGAATTAAATATTACACAATGATACAATTATACTTTAGCGCTGCTTTAAATACCCTACCCTTCATCGCGGTCATGTTCTGTGAGTTGACTTTCCCTTGGCATTATAATATTCACCTACAATAACAGATATACGAATGTATGCACAATCAAAAGGTGTGGATCTGTGGCTCATCGGTTTAGGGAAATGACTTTCCACCAGTGGGTTGCAGGTTCAAGTTCTTCTCTACCTACCAAACTTTGGGCAGCTAGGTAATATCATTAGACTTCACACAGTAGGTGTAGATTATTGCCTACTGAAAGAATGTGGTTGCTGAGTATATTTCATATTTAATAAGTAATGTTTATTCAATTGAACGTCTTGATTTTAATTAGTGGTTTCTAGGGATTTCTTGATTCGAAATTACTTTTCACCATGGATCAACATGAATTGAAGAATGATTGAAAACACTATTTCGTTCAAGTATAAGATACATTAGTAGTGTGCACCAAAACCCCCTGGGGGGATCGAGTCCGTGATTATCAGATCTTTTGGTGAGCACATTGTCACCCTACATTTTCTTACTTCTGTCAATTCACGAAATACTGCAAACAGCATAAAATATCATCTATGAGTATTTGTACCTACATTCGATATGGTCGGTTTCTGTTTAGAACCCCGGGAGATCTATCTAGAAACAGTTTAGCACTAAGCAGTAGATGATGATCACACTATATCGCCAATTAAAATAAATGACCATCAAATTTCAATCCACTGGCAGAATGGCAACAGGTGCTGCTGATGATACTCAGTGGTACTGAGCTTGACTCCTCTAAGGAGTGTAGTTACACATTGCTGATGTATCTCATAGAAAGATAGAACAACTGTCTAATGCTCTAAAGTTTTCAGTTGTTCTCTAGCTACTGACAGTCTGTAATGAAAATCTGAAATCTGAAGTGTTTAAATATTTACGAGAAACACTGAGTTCCTACATCGATAATCAGTCTTTCATCACTGCAACAATGGAAATCAAATACTACTCAAAACCAACACATTTCTGAATATCATCAACCAGAAGATAGGATAGACAATTTGAAAGATTTGTTTCTCAAGGAAATAAATAGGGCTGACAAACGACTAATATCAACAAATGAATTTCCGTTTGTAGATTTCGTGAGAATGTATCTATTGATCTCAGGCCGGTATTCATCATGGACTGACATCACTTATGAAACCGTTGGAAACCAGGACTTGCCGTTTCGTCCTAGTTTGGGACTCCTCAGCAGTTCATACCCATAATTCTTCCGAGGATCAAACACAGAACCTCCAGGTTCCACGACCAGCAAGTTACTATTGAGCCACTGGTCAGAATCCAAGGGTACATATTTCCATCAGCTTACGGCATAGCGCGACCTCCATCGAATGCTGTCGGTGAGTAACTGTCCTCACATCCAACTTGGTGTGCCCCGCTATTCACGATTTTTCATTAAAACTTCGGGAATCCCATATCGAAGCAAGTGAATAGTGGGCACTGGAGTAATTCAATTTAGAGTTTTCATGGAGATTTAGTCATTGATTCCACGTTGATATTCATCATGAACTGACGACAGTTGGAGATGGATTTCCAACTATCAGCAAGGATATTTGGCGCAATAGTTTTCCTCCCTAATCCAAATGAAACTGTTCACCTGTTATGCAATAAAATCGAATGAAGTTTCTAATGTTTGCATTCGGCAGCAATGATTGTTTCTAAACTTCAACGGGTAAAAGTTCGGATCACATCTGTAATCATCAGCAACATGTCCACATAAAGTGGAAAGAAGCCAAACAACAATACGGAATTCAATGGTGAAAGAAGACAAGATATTAGAAGTCACTGATTATGCAATAAATAAGATAAACCAATTTACCAGTCGTGAAATGGTAAAAAGTATATCCTGAAGACAGATTAGGACTACTGGTCACTTCTATGTGGTAAAATCACTTCAACTGCTAAGTGAGGTTTGGCGTATTATCCGTACCTCATGGTAGATAATTCGATGCTATCCACAGAAAATTCTACCGACCATGAATTAAGGAAAATAACCACTTAAATTCAACAATATCTCGTCAGTAATGAAGCTTTCTGTATAATGCTCATTAGTGACATGTTTCGAGATGGATATCGCGAAGTTCTTATGAGAAGCCGTGACCTATGGAGCTAGCCAGTTGGAAGTGAAGCGAATGACAAATTAAGATTGTAGTGTATTGTCTTGCTATATCACGAATTAAAGAAAGTAGGAAATTGTTAACCATTAAAGTTCAACGTACTGGCTGAGTAGTTAATACTTTCGCCGCGAGACCTGAAGGTCCTAAGTTCAACCCATAGTGATGTCGCGGACGTGTACTCCTGAGGAGCCTCATACTAGGACGAAACAGCTATCCATTGCCACCAGTGTTTATAAGGTTCTCTAACTGATGTCACCCTGTGATGAATACTACCATGAAACAATAAGTCTAGAGTGCAAATACAAACTTCTCAACTAAAAAGAACTCACAACCAGTCATAAAGTCATGGAACAGTTAAAGTGAAATAATTCATAACTCCTAAATTAAATTTAGCATACTTAAATAAGATTAACAGAGTTTTGCTAGTAAAGTTTGACTTTTAAACTAGTTAACTCAAAATTAATCATAATACAGTTAACCAGTATTGATAATTGGAATAAAATCAGGTAATGTAACACTTGCAGATTAGGTCAGTCACATGTTTTGAAGTGGCATTTATCGGTCTGTTATTCAAACAGTTATTGAATCATCAAAATAGCTTGAAAAACTTCTATGTTGCGATTTATGAGACCCTTTGAAATCAAACCTGGGATATTTTGACAACTTTCTAAATACAATAAGGTTCTTTCCAGTGAGACTAATTTAGGTTGTTTCAAGTTTTGATCAAAATCAAATCATTTTACACCTAATAGAGTTCTGAGAGTCTCACATGTGTTACTGTCAAAGAGAGAGAGTCATAACTTCAAGGGGTATTAAGTAAGCATCTACTTGGAGGCACTCAGTTAGTCAGTCAGTATCAACCTGAAACCTTGCATTACGATGTAGCGGTTTGCGTTAATACACTGCACATCACCACATCAAAACAGAACGCTTCAAGTTGAAGGATAGTGAAATATACGAGAATATAAACGAAATTAGTGGAACGTCATCAAAAGAGCAGAAGAAGAAATGAGACAGCGATGACAATTAGTGTGACGATTAAGTTCATGGTTATGTGTGCATACTTCCGCACCAGTGACGTTGATCTTCAGTTATGCGGTAATTCGTCATTATTTAAGAGTTCAAAAGCGATGAATGTTGTCATAGGTGGGCAGAGGAAGAATGATAAGAATTAGTCTAAGTGTGCATCGCTTCATATTCCTGTGCTCTGAATAACCCAGAAATTCCAGTTAGAGAAATGTATACGAAGCAGATATTGACAGTTATATGTTGTTGAAGATCTCAGATAGCGACAATGTGTTGGTACTTTCGCACTGTTTTTATCAGTTATTCCTATAGTACCCAGTCATGACTTCTATATATCTCGGAGATGTCACTAAAGTAGTATAAGCTTTCCCAAATCAGCTGCCTATAACTTCGTGGATGGAATTTCCATCTTTACTTAGTTTATATTTACACTTTTCTTGCTAGACGCGTTCACAGATACATTGTACACTGTATTACATGCATATTGGTTAACTTAACCTCTGAAAGCTGACATGCTTACTGCATTAAGAGTTACCATGCTCCAACAGTGGTTATAAAGTACCTATGATTGAATACTTGTAACTGTAAGATATCTTCCACTGCCTCTCACAACCGTTAGTTTAGATAAATGGCACTACTTCACAGATTCCAACCTACGTCCTCGACCAAATATCTCAGATATAGCGGGCTAAGGAGCACCAAATAAGCATTTTCATATGTGTACTAAAATTCCGTCAGACGATATCTTCTCCCACGGACTAAATAATGAACAGCTTGATAGTCTGATATCATAAGCTTACTGGAAAATAAGAGAAATATGGAACCAGCATTTAAAAATTAACTGCATCATCCACATCATTTTCAAGTCTTCTCTCTCTCTCTGAGACGATACACTTTTCACTTTCTGTACTGAATTAAACACCTTCTAACTTATATAACCAGTCCGAAATTGTCATCGATAAAAAACGTAAATGTGAGTAAACGGGTAACGAAGCACTTAATGTTAGCAAATGGGATATTTTCAGAATATATGGGATACACTTTTTGAATAAGCGTTATAGTATACTGTTCGTTTTTCAAAGATTTAAACCAATAAGAGGACATCAGTTTTCTTTAGATTGTAACCATGCCTTGCCAATGAGTACTAGCTGGTATACAGGCTGGGTGAAAAAGAAATTCTAACTGGTTAGCTCTTTACATCAACTGAGGATAATTTCGTTGTTTATCAATAGTTGTAATTTCCTACTGCTCTATTGGATCGAATTGCTCGACCTCTTTAGGCAGATGGATCTTTATGCGGATGCCTCGATACCGCCTGGATATTAATCACTATGGAATCTATCTGACGGCTAAAAATGGAAACTAGAACATGCGTTTCGTACCAGTCAGGACTCGTCAGCTGAATGTAGATGCACCTCAGTAAGTCGGGCGATTCAGCCCAGCACGGCAACGGGAAATTAGGGAAAACATTAATAAACTAAGACTGATACCCGTTGCACGAGAGGTGGCTCTCATGCCTAGTGGATAACATTTTGGCGGTTGGCACTGGGTTTGAATCTCAGAGGGGACGACAGCTCTCACTGGGGTACCCATAAATCCAGCTGACAAGTCCCAAATAGAACGAAATGCACGTTCTGGCTTCCACCGCTGGGCGTCAAATAGCCTACAAAACTAGGACAACTTCGTTTAGCTACCAGACCATAATTAAAACTCGACCAGTAGATTTTAATCAGCACTTCGAATTCGGTTACTTTAACACACTGGTCACCATTCGGCAATCAGTCCGTGAATAACAATAATAGTGAGAAAACCTTCTGAAACGACTCTTAGGCAAAAACTTCCATGGATCGTTGTTCTACTTAGAGCTCAACAGCGTTACAGTTGGAGACCAGTGGCAAAATATTACTTTTCTCTTTTGTATTTCAAAATGTTTATTACGTCTGGTTAAACTTTGCTTATTTTTTTCTGCTTTTGCTTTCTCTTCTGGCTAATCGAATAAATACTTGTCAAGTCTTTCGTGCAAAACCACCAACAGAACCAAGTATAGCTCAGTACAAACGTACAGCCCAACCGGATAGGCATAAAATAAAACTGGAGGATAAACTAGCCAACATAAAATCGAATGGAGCCCATTCAGCAATTAGTCCGCACGTTAAAAGTAATAATGACAATATTGACAAAGGTAATGTCCATTATTGGTCAAGCAGCCTCTAACTTTTTTCTGTAGAATTCTATTTTAAATCACCCGATTCCAGTCATTTCCCAGCTCTCAATTCAAATGCCTATGAGATATCTTCTATAAACCAGAATGCCAGTGGTGGTGACCGTACGGATAATGATTTTGTTGTCGAAATGGATGATAACAGAAACAGCCATTCTTTTGAATCATTAAGGCGGGGCGGTAAAGATGCAACGGTCTGGGCTGCCTTGAAACGTTTATTCAGAAATCAATGGTTTGTTTTATTGTTTATAAGCTATGGTAAGCCTTCATCTTTTTCGTTTGTTTTCCTATCGTTCATTAGTATTAAAAATCTGAAACCTAGATAGTCGGTATGCTATTTATTTCCTAGAGGTTGTAAAGCCACGTTGGAGTGGATCTCTAATAGGAGGAGAACAAAACTATGCTGCAGCTCTGCCTGCTCTATTTCAAATCGACATCGAGGATTGAAATACATGTGTAGTGAGGGAGGGGAGAAATGAATAAAGGGTAACGAGATCTTCAGATCTTTCAGTAATATACGGAATAAAACTATCCGACTGTCAGCCGAGTTACTCAAAGTCTTTAGTCCTGAGTTTCTTTGTGCATTCAAATCGGGCAGCCTATGTCCATGCCTAGACGGGTTGTGTTTGAATTTACCTTATTATATTCGAATCGGCTGAAACCCTGAACTTATGCACCTTGCTTTAAGCTACAAGTTCAATCGTGTCGATGAGAAGTTTACAATCTGAAGAAGAAATATTCAGCTTCTCATTAGACTGAAAAAAGACCCAAGGCCTAAATGTATCAAAGCTACTTGCCGATTACAACTATCAGTCAGTGTCATTAATATGCATTATATATATATATATATATATATATATATATATATTCAATTTCCGCTTGCCTGAAAAATACATGGTCTTCTGAACACCTTGAGCAGAAATCTGTGTATGTTTGATGTGCGTTTTGCTCCTGCCAAATGCAAGATGGTGCTCCAAGACTGGTCTGTAACGACTTCCACTCTAAGGATAGGGAGTGAAATGGTTGCATGGGTCGACCACTTCACTTACTTGAGGATTTGAATCAGCCCAAACAGTCTGATTGCCGATGAAATCTTGAATGTGAAAGGCTCACTTGAAATTTGTCAACCCTTGTTAGCTATGGTGCTGGGGGTATACTCAGGTACCGGTTAAAATATGAGCATACAGTCCTGCAGTCCACTTTGTCCTGTTATACGACTGTGAGACTTGGCTTCTGAAGGCAGGAAATATAAATATATCATAGGCTTTTGAACACAGGCGGGTTCTTAGCCGTACTCACTTAACGCGGAGTCATAGTGTGAGCAATGCAAAGGACAGGTGAAAGATGTTACATAAGACGGACAAGTCGATCAACTGAGATGACTAGGACATGTGTTACACATGCTGAGTCCCCACCTATCCCAACGTGCAGTACCAGAGGAAGTTGGGTTGCTTTGGAAGAAAACTCGGGGTGTCAAAACTAAGATGTGACACCAGTCAATGAAGCCACTAACTTTTGGGTTCAGGGGGGCAGAGAAGGAGTTGAAGACTATCTGGTCGGATCCCCAAGTCGAGAGGAATCAGTGGCTGAATACTCTTTGTGATATTTCTGAAACTCGGTTACAACGGCTCAGATGTATTCACTCTTTGACGTCTTCTAAAGCTTGAACATTTTCCCTAACTTTCATTTTCAAACCGTTTCCCTTCCCAGACACCTTTGTCTACTCTGATATCACTCTTGTTCTAACCACTTGTTCTTTATATATTATTTTGATGTGTGGCAACTGGAGGTGATGTACTTATATACTATGCTCTATCTTGATTTATATGTGTCTGTCCGCCTTATAATTTAGTTCCTTTTTGTTATGTGTGAAACACTTGGTTGGACTAACTTTCATTTGAGAATTCACACCAGCCCATTCATTCAGGAAATCCTATCACTTCCTCAATTTTCGAAGCATAATTTTCTACCCAGCTCTTAGCCTCTGGGATATCTGAACTCAGTGGGTAACTATTATCAATCCTAAAATGAAGTGACTGCTGGCAAGAAATGGTCTGATTCTTGACTGGTGGTTAGCGAATTCAATCTTCGCCTCCGTCTACCGAGACGTAAGCAGCTACGCACCAGTAACACCAGTCGTTAAATTTTGTGAATACAACTTATCGACTAGCATAGAAAATTCTTTTGACTCATCAGTTACTGTTTCTTGGCTCATTAAACTGATGAAAGAGCTTTAATTAGTAATTCACAGAAAAAGAATATGTTCCACCTACCGAAGTATCAGGCAATCCGAATAAAATGCTTAAATCACATTGCCTGGTCTATGAACCTTTACTTATGAATTTATTAGTCAAAAATGGATGCCTACTTGAAATTTACAAATCCCAACAAACCTCCTAACTGAGTTACTTACAGTCCACTGCTCATTAGTGACTTGCTTCGAGATGTGTGCGGAGATTCTAATGGGAAGTCGTGACCGGTAGGACAAAATAAGTCAAGTGTGGGGACAAACACCCAACGATAGCATTGAATGAATGTAGCGTTATATTGCGAACTGACAGAACTAAGCCACTGGGTTCTGATCCAGTTGATGAATGGCAGTGTACTCACCGCAAAACCCACAGATCCTGTATATGATCGCTCGTTTAGTCATATATGTGCGTTGCTGTGAAGTTCCACACTGGGACGAAACAGCTGTTCAGGTTTCCAATGATTCTCTAAGTGATGTCAATTCATGGTGTACACTAACTTGTAATTGAATCTATAAGGAGGAAATATGGGATCAAACAATAAAGGGATTTAAAGTAAGAGAGTTGCTAAGCTACTGAGGATTTATGTAAACAAATGAATTATTCGAAGATATCAAAATAATTTTGATCAGAGTTCAGTAGATAAATACGAAGGATGATGTCATGCAACTAACGCAATATCGATTTATGTCTTTTTGGATTATACGCACACTCTCATATTATCTGCATATTAATCGTCATACAGAATTCCATAGTTATCACATTCCTCCTTTTTCTCCTTTCATGACTTTCTGCCATTTTTGACTTCATTTTCTCTTATTTCTCTATCTTGATGCATTACTGCTAGATGTACTGACATAAGGTATGGCAACATGAACCGTTGCGCAGTATTACTGTTACAGCTGTCGCTGCATTTTGTCAACTCTTTTCTGTCTTTCAGCACACTTTATGTCATATGTTTGAAAATTCAAGTGATTTTATCGTAATATGATGTTGTGTACAGCTGATTCATAGCTGTGATTCGTCCATCTAACGGAAGGTGGGGCAATGAAAATGACGACAACAACAATAATGGATGAAGAAGGACAAATATGTCGTAAGACATGAAAGGATCAAATATTCATACGATAAGAATAATAAGGTCTAGCTTCTAGGCAGTACTTTTGTAACACTGCCACCAATTTTAACGCGAATTCAAATGTGAAGGATAAAGCTGGTGTCATTGAAATATATACATGTATGTCTGTTCGGTGTCATCCTAGATATCATCATCAGTGCATAGGAACCTTACAAGGAAGCAAATTAGCAGGTTATAAATGAATATATTTGTGACATGCTGCCTGGGCTGAGGCCGACCTGAGTGGTCGGTTAGTGAGTGCATTAGTGTATCTTGAACTAGATTGATTGTCGTCTTGCTCTACCTTTCTGAGAAAGATATGCAACCGGGTCGTTGGTTGACTTTCTTTTTTTCACTCAGTGCGTTAAGGCTGCTTCATTGTGATCTGTTGGCTCTTTTCGTTCGAATTAACTAACGGACGTTGATTTGATCTGATCGGTTGACACTTTTGTTTGACTGAATTAAAGAAGATTGTCTTAATCTAATTGACCAAATCTTTTATAATGAAGGAGGGATACTTTATGCTGATTGGTTGATATGCCATTGCTGGATGGTTGGTTTTTACTAGATATGCCTTTTCGTATTAACTGGTTAATTGCATACGTTTGATTTGGCATCTACTTCAGTTCCTTGTGAAGATCTGATCCATTGATGGTGATGTTAAGCATGATATTGAAACGTTCACCAACTGAAACCCCAGATCAATGAACAATTCAATCTAAACATCTACACTCCTACCTATAGATATCCTCTACATTGGCAAATCTGAAATTTAGCATGGTATTAACTTCATTAAAACTCGTGTTGTACTATAAATATATAAAAGATATGGAACAACGAGAGTGAAAGATTTCGCAATAGCTCGAGGAAATGTTTTGTTTCAGCAGTAGGCTAAAATAAGGTAAACTATTATCTGAGAGGACCAACTGGCAGTCTGAAAATGCGAGTGGTTCAAGTGGTTCAATATTTTGCCCAGTCATCGAACAGTGAAGGATGCCATGCTGTATTAATATGCCACCGATACTTGTATCACATTTTCTTGGCTACCTTCCTGACAAAGCTCAAGTGATTCTGTTAACATCACGTAATTGTTAGCGATATCGTTCATTAACTGACTACATGTATTTTTATTCTACCGTTTCCATTTCGGTGATCTGTTCCTCCGCCAGGTATAATTACTGGTGTTTACTATGCGGTGGGTACGTTGCTGAACAGTATACTCCTGGAATATTTTACAGTAAGTTGACTGCTTGGATTACTGCTTAAAACACATAATTAGCATTGGTTTAAATAAGAATGATTAGTGCATCTAAAGGGTGCTTCTTTGACAACATCATTATAGACAAAGCATTGTGCCAACTATTTTTTATTGGTACTTGTTATTTCCTGTTGCTATACTGAGATGAGTCGCTCAACCTTTGTCGGCAGATGAGGTTCTGTGTGGATACCCTGATTCTGCCCAGATATTCATTATATTGTAGTCTACCTGGTGTCTAATAGTGGGATCCAGGATGATTTTGTTTTGTCCTATACGGACTTGTCATCTCAGTGTGCCTGCACCCCAGTGAGTCGGGGATTCTATGCAATGTAGCAACAGGAAATTGCAAGTACCCATAAATAGTAATAACTGGTACCCCTTGAAAAATAGTTGACCCTTTTGCCCCAATGCCCTAGCGGATAACGCTACGGAATTTGAAGCAATGGGTACTGGAAACAGCATCACCGACTGTGGTACAGGTACACCTAGCTGACGAGTTCTAGATGGGATGAAACACATGTCCTGGATTTCACTATTAGCCAATAAGTAGACTTCAAGTGCATCAACTCTTTGGGATGATGAATGTTGGCGTGAACCACGTATGCATGTGTACACTGCATAGCTGACACCTTTGTGATGTTAAAATTGGTAGTTGAGAAACTTTTAGTTACATTTTTAAAAAATTCGATAACATTACCTTAGACGTATCTTATCACATTGATTTTTTGGAACACGAACTTGGTATAATATGGACACGAAATGATATACCGTGCAAAACATGGAAGACAGAACAGAAAAAAACCAGAAATGGGTTATTCAGCAACTAGTCGCAAAGATTCACCCAATGAAGCTTTCGCTAACTTCGTTTTACTTTTCAGTGTTAGAAGAAACAAAAAAGTTTTAGCATGATCGCCACTGGTTTCGTTTGTTATCCATGCCTACAATTTCTAATGTATCTGAGTTGCACAGTTTATTTGAACCCATTCACTGAGTTGTAAGGCAATAGTAAATGTTAACCTAACGCTGCTATCCTTCATTCACACAGGACCGCAGTACATACTGACCACCGCTCTGCTCGTTTCAAACAACAGCAGGGCAAGCGAACGGTGAACGGTGTGGAACCAGCTTAGACAACATGAATAACATTTGTCGAGGCCAGCGAAGCTGATGCTTCATAATGACCACACTCAATCAATGACTATCTCCATCATGCTGAGGTGTATGGACTGCTTATCATCTGAAAATTAGGCACTTTCACTTGTAATTTCTCTCTCCTACATCTAATTAAGCATCATTTTATCTCTTTATACTATCCTCTTGTTAAACTGCTGTTGCATTTCTCTCCGAAATTATGCATAGATTTATTTGACATAAGTGTGGAGAACTTTGGCAAACTTTCGCCGTATTGAGAAGGGCATACAGCTGCTACTCTTTGCTTTTAAGGATCAAGTGATTAATCAGAATGCATCTAGAGAGATACAAGCCATACTGACTTCAAGTTGGTATACATTACGCACTGAAGTCAGCTGGAGAACCAGTGGAAACTTGGGAGCACTGGAAAGCTGTTCCATCCTAGTACAGGACTCCTTTAGACCATTGCATCCCGAGCAAATGACTCAGTGGTAATGTGCTCGCCATGAAACCTGAAGATCTTGGTTTCTATCTTCGTTGGGGTCATGGGTACAGACTGCTGAACATTCCTATTCTAGAACGTAACAGCCGTTCAGTACTTACAGGTTTACAATGATTCTCCAGCTGATTTCAGTCCGTAATGTATACCAACTTGAGATCAATAATTCCTCTTAAACCCCCAAAATGAAGAAACTAAAGTGGTTTGAGATTCTTTTTGAATTGATAAGACCTAAGAATTGGGATGCACTGAATTCAACCAGAGTATTCTGCAGTGTTATACTCTTCGCAAAACCGGATCATTTCGGTTTACTCCGCGGGAAGAAAGATACGCTTTTAAAGTGCTAACTGATATGCAAGCGATAACTAAGTCACTGTGAAGTCGACCATGGATCTGCGATAATTTGAACTTAACATAATACATTTCCAAGTAGAACTTAAGTTAATGAAGACTTCATACTTCTTAACCAAGAACGTGTATCCAAATCAGTTTCCAATATCTTCAGAAGAAACGATCATTTGATGACGGTTAACCACCACCCAAACATCGAGGTTTTTACATGTCATGCCCAACTGGTTCAAGAATTATGAAGAAATTTGTAGGCTGATGAGATTAGACGTGTGATATATTGAGTTTTTTAAGTGGGTCTTCAGCTGTGGTGCTGTTGTTTAAGTATTTAACAACTGTCCATTTTGTCGTGGATTTAAAACCAACCAATATACCACAACACATGCCAGCAGGTAGCTTCAATTACCACCCTATCTCATTAAGTATGGTTCGTAACCAGAGACAAAAACCTGGATGAGACTGCTGAATTTCATTAGTGAATTGAAGTGACTTTGATGTATCATTTTAAACTATCCTCTTCCTTGCAAGTTGGTTATTTCTGCATGAGTGACTTTCTACTTTGAATTCCTTTTTATCTACTACACTGGCTATAAAATTTGTAAATGTTTCACAAAAGCACACAAAAAATATTTTTTAAAAAGATAATCACATACGTTACTGATAGAAATGTAGAAAAACATATGTAACTGATCAGCTTGGTTGGTGTGTGTTACACATGCATAGTTTCGCCTTTCTCTTCCCGCTAAAGTGATGTGAATTTACCTGTACTTCAGTGAGTGATACTCTCACTGGACCTCGAGCTCAGTACCCATAGCTTCAAATGCCATAGCATATGAACGTTAAATTGAAGGTATTATTAAATAACAACTGATTCTCATTGCACAAGCGTTAGCTGTCATACCCCAGTGGCCTAACGGAGAACGCTTTGGCGTTTGAAGCGATGGGTACATGCCTTGATAACTGAATCGGGTACTATCCACCAGCAGATTAGTTTAAGCACTACGTGATTTATCCACCTCATATACACTAAGGATCAAGTGTACTGGAGAAGAATCGCAAACACTTCAACTTGTCTTACTGGGTGCTTCATGGGTAACTGATTTAATTGGATCTGTATAAGCTTCAAAACCCTTGGAAGACTGGCAATGTTAGATAGTCTAATCATACTGCTTTGGATATTTTGTTAGCGAAAAACCAGCAGAGCGATACTTCCTGGTACAAATTCCCAGGAATTCTGATGCAGAGCAGTAACTTACGAGGTCAACTAAATTTAGTGTGATGGTGTGTCCTCCCCATTGAAGGAAAATAATGTTCATGTTATGAAGCGAATTGACATACATTTTGTAGGGTTTGCACCACAGTATTCCAACCCAATGGCTGAGTCGTAGTATGCTACCCCTGCCCAAGACATGATGGGCATGCTATAGATGCCATATGTGGTAGAAAATATAAACAGGCTAATCCCTAACATGTAAATGATAGCTAATCAATGGATCTTGAGGTTAGTGGGGATTTTAATTTAGAGGTTGTATTCGTCGCGAACTGACATCAGTTGGAGAACCATCGAAAACCTGGGACCACTAAACAGCTGTTTCGTCCTAGAATGAGACTTCTCAACAGTTGGCATCCACGATCTGGCCAGAGATCGAACTGAGGATCTTCAGGTGTCACGGCGAACACGCTAGCAATTCAGCCGTTTGGTCAAAATCCAATGTTAAACAGTTTCCTAGGATAAAAAAGGATGCCCCGTATTCACAGTTTTTCAATGGTTATCCAATTGATGTCAGTCCGTGATGAATACTACCTCAAAATTAAAATTTCTGTTAGCCTCAAAATATATTCCTGTATATTTGTAATTGATGACAAGCTTTTAGATGGATATCTTGAAGTTCTGGCGAAAAACCTTGACCTGTGAGGTCAACCTATCGGGAGGGAAGAGGATGCCAACTGAAGACCTTGATTGATAGTCACACTATATTGGGAATTATCAGAAGCTAGAAACTGCGAAACTGTGAAACCTGGTGACTAAATAGTTGATACGTTTGCCTTGAAACCTGTAGGTCCTGAGTAAGATTACTAGCCCGGTTGTGGGTGCGTACTACTGAGGAGTCACACTAGGAAGAAATAGCTGTGTAGTGGTTCCTGGTTTCCAATAGTTCTTCAACTCACATCAATCGACGATGAATACTACCTCAAAACCACTTGATCCCCATACTCACTGGTTCTTTAGCTATTAAAAATCGCTAGTAAAATTTACCTGGAAACTAGTCCTGTGTAGCTTTATTCAGTGGACCATTTAGGAAACGTGCTGATTCTATATGGAAAGCCTCTAGATGAAAATACCTCACAGACGACTTGCTTTTCATTTTTGGCAACAGTAATTCAATCTCAGGACAGACTGTCAGCGAAAATCCTACACAAAGTTGACTGTCTTCTGGACAGTATGATCATAAATACTTCACGTCAGATGTGATTCACAGCCTGATACTTCATTGCTAGTCTGCGCAGATATCTATGGTAGTATGAAGATGGAGTAGACAAGCGTGGCAGATAAAAACTAAGAAATGTAGCTTGGTAGCCTCTGTTCCCTCTGCACTTGGACGTTAATCAGTAATGCCAGATATAATATTGGTACTCAGTGACTGCTAAACATCAAGCCATCAGCCAAAATCACTATGTTTTGAAGAGTCATATTAACCTGTTAGTCTTACTTCGAATGAGGATCCGTGGTTCTAACTTGTGGAATCTAGGATACGCATTTTATCGTATTTGAGACTCGTCAGCTGGATGTACATGCACCCCACTGAGACATGAACCCAGTACTCATCGCCCGAAATCCAAAAGCGTTATCCACTAGGCCAGTGGGGTACAAGAGAGCCAACTAACTAAATGGTTATATAAACATTAAAATAAACAAGATAGCGAATTTAGTGTGTCGTATTTGGCGAACTAGTTCCATGTAAATGTTGCAACAAAAAGGAAATATATAAACAGTTGAATA